CCCCCACGTCCGCCCCGCCCAGCCCTGCTCCCGCCTCTTCTCAGGGTCCCAGGCGGGGCTTCCCGCACGTCCCAGGAAGGGGTGTCCAAGGCGGTCCCAGGCTAGTGGGCGGAGCCGGCGGTGTCCGGCCTAGACCAGGGGACTCAACCCACCCCAGAGCAGAGCTGCGCTGAACCCACCTGGTGAGAAGCCCCTGGGGCGGAGGGGGGGACCCTCAACTCTTCTGCCACCTCTTTGGTCCCTCTCCCCCCGCCAGGGCCTGGTGGCTGACACCCCACTCACTCTTCCTCAGATGCAGGTCGCAGGGACCCTTCGGTTCCCCAATGACCTGTCAGACCCCCTTTCCTCTCACCATCTGGAATCCTGGGTTCTAGTCCCCTCAGAGTATTGAATTCCAGTCTTTACTCTCCCTCTTAAATATTTAGGAGTCCGGGCCCCGCCCCTTCCTCCCTTTCCTAGACCCAGGGTTCCAGACCCCAGTGGCCACCTCCCGAGGACCCAGGAGTTCCAGACCCTCTTCTTCCAGGATCCAGGAGTTGACGCCCTCAGCCCCTGACTTTCAGACCAGGAGTCAGGTCCCCAGCCCCCTCTTCCCTCAGGCCGAGGTGTCTGTGTCCCCAGCCACCTCCTTCCTTTGGGATCCAGAAGTTACGGCCCAAGGCCACTCCTATCCCTAGCTCCCTCAGGCCCTTTCCCTGCTGAGCTCACAGGCAGGGGCCTGACCTCCACTCTGACCCTGCCGTCTGTGGGGGCCCTGACCTCCCCCCAGTCCAGGTCCCCATCCCGGCCTTGGCAATGACCCTGGCGGCTTCCTCCCAGCGCTCCCAAATCATTCGCTCCAAGTTCCGATCTGGTGAGAGGCTTCTCTCCGTGTGTGTGTGGGGGGGGGGGGGGGGCTGAGAATGGTCTATACTGGGGGTCTGGACCCCTGGGCCTAGGAAAGGGAGGGGGTGGTGGGGCCCACAAAGCATGTTTTCTGGCAAAAGGTCATTTTGCACAAAGGAGGCCCCGACAAAGGGGTTGCGTTGTGGTGGCCCCATGAGCATGCAGACCACTAGTTTAATGCTCCCTAGTACAGTGCTCACAGGAGCGGTGGGGAGATGGTGACCAGGGTGGGCATGCAGAGGGCCCTTGACCATGTGTGCAAAGCGGAGGCCTGCAGAGTGGGGATTTCAGGGGACCAGCATGAGACTTCTGTGAGGGGACAATGAACTGTCAAGCCTTGAAGGTATCCGAGGTTGTGTTTTAGGTCCCAGGGCAGATAGACAGTGGGTAGAACTGGGGTCAGCTCCCGAGTAGGCAAAGGGAACTTGAATGCGCGAGTATGTTCATGTGGGCCAGGAGATATGCAAAGCCACCAGGAGCCAGAGAGCGAGGCGTGTGCAAAAGTACACATGTCCAGAGATGTGCAAAGGGGACCCTTGCTCCAGATCTGGGGCTGAGCCCTGCGTGTGCACATACGTGTTCGCAAGCACTGAGCGCAGGCGGAGGCAGAGTGAGCCGAGGATGGAGGGTGTGTAAAAACGGACAAGTGCAGGAAAGTGGCACGTGTGCAAAACACGAGCCCAGGGAGACGGGTGTTTAAAGGGTGGGTGTGCGGGGCGGGGGCGGGGGCCGGTGGCTGTGGGAAGGCCCAGAGGCAGCACGGAAGGGGTCCAGAGCGGGGTGCACGGGTGAAAGGGGGCGAGGCGCAAAGGGGCCAGGCTGGCAAGATGGCGATCGTGCCGGGGGGAGTGGGCACACGCTCTCGAGGGGGCAGGTGGAGCGGGGGCAGGGCTGCCCCCTGCCGGCACGCTGGCTGGCTCCTCGCCCCAGAATGGGTCTGGCCCGCGGCGCTGCGCTGGCAGGGAGCAGGCGGGAGGCCCGGGAAAGGGAGCGGGCTGCCCGCCCACCCGCCGGCGCGGGCGTGTAAGGGGGCTGGGCACGAGTGTCCCGCCAACAACTGCAGCTCCCACCGCCGGCTAGGCCAGGCTCCTGAACACTCCCTTCCCGCCTTCCTCCTCCCACCTCCCTCCTTCCTCCACAGTCCTCCAGCTTCGGATCCACAGACGGAACCAGGACCCGAGTAAGTGTGGGCCCCGAGAGGGGGGAGGGCATGGTGGTTCCACTCCCCCGGGACACCTCGGAGCACAGCCAGCGGGCCACTTGCTCGCTGGTTCCTGCAGCTCAGGCCCTAGCCTGAGGGATCGACCCATCCCATCCTGCCCTCTTCCCGAGGACCCAGGAGTCCTGGTCTCCAGCCACCCCACCGCTAAGGGCTCTGTTTCCTGCCCCTCAGTTTCCCCCACCCCCAGATGCCTGAGTCCAGACCCAGACTCCACACTTGGCACCCACAAGCAGTTCAGGATGTGGCTTTCAGCTTCTCCCTCTCCCCAAGAACCAGGAGTGCAGGCCCCACCCCGTCTCAGCAAAACCTCAGAAATCTGCGATCCTTGGCTGCCACACCCCTTGGCGACCGGGGACAGGATTCCAGCTTTTCTTGAGAATGCAAAAATCCGGGCCCCCAGCACCTCCGCCCTCAAATCCGGGAGCCCAGCTCCCTCCACTTGAGTTTGGGCTCCTGCACCCTGGGGCCCTCCAGAGCCCTGCTCCTCCCTGCCTGGCTGACTGCCGGCAGGCCTCTCAGGGCCCTTCATCGTCTTCCAGCCTCGGATCCAGACCCGTGGATCTCAGCCTCGGGCCCGGCTCTGGCCCCAGCCTTGCCCTCGGGCCCTGGCCCTTTCCTCTTCAGCCCTGGGGTCCTGCTCCCTGAGCCAGAATACTGTCCTTGGAAGCCCCCCAAGAAGGTGAGTGAGAAGTCCCTCTGAGCGTCTAGCCTTTGTTCTCCTTGCTGCCGCCACTGTCCTTTTTGCTTCTCTCTGGTGGCGCCAAGCTGACCCCATCCTTTGCATGTAGCTCTGGGGCAGGAAGGTGGGAACCGGGGTGAAGCCCAGCACATCACACCTGCTTTCCCAGGAGTCACCCAAGATCTCCCAACGTTGGAGGGAGCCCAAGGCCAGGGGGAATTTGACATACCACCAGTACATGCCCCCGGAGCCGAGACAAGGATCCAGGACAGACCCCCAAGCCGAGGGGCCAGCCCTGGGTCCTCCCGGGCCACCTCTGTGGGAAGGGACAAACGCTCAGCCATCACATCCAAGGTAGGACCTCCCTTTCGGGTCTCCCGGAGCCCAGAAATTCAAGTCTCAGCATCCTCCTCCTTCAAACCCAGAGCCCACGACCGGGGAAGCCTGATCCCCCTGCTCCCCCAGGACTCAGAAGTCCAGGCCCCCAGCCCCTCTTTCTTCAGACCCAGGTTCCTCCTCCCCCATGCACGGAAATCTGCTTCTCCCTCGGAGACCCAGAATTGCGGGCCCTCACTTTCCTGCATCTTCTCCCACCCCTCCCCTCTCTTTGGGGACCCCGGAACGCCTTTTCCCCCTCTGCCCCATCTGACCTTTGTTCCTCCCCACCACGGTCGCCAG